GGGCCACCGCCTTCAGCAGCCAGAGCCACCACGAGGTGACCATGTACTACCCCATGCGAGCCATCCAGCACCACCAGTTCCGCCTCATTCACAACCTCAACTACAAGATGCCCTTTCCCATCGACCAGGACTTCTACGTCTCACCCACTTTCCAAGACCTGCTCAACCGCACCAGGGCTGGGCAGCCAACCCACTGGAACAAGACCCTGCACCAGTACTACTACAGGGACCGCTGGGAGCTCTTCGACTGCAGCCACGACCCCACTGAGAGCCAGAACCTGGCCCTGGACCCCCGCTACGCCGCTGTCTTCCAGCAGCTTCGTGCGCAGCTCTTGAAGTGGCAGTGGGACACGGGTGACCCCTGGGTGTGTGCCCCCGACGCTGTCCTGGAGGAGAAACTGAGCCCCCAGTGCCGGCCGCTGCACAACGAGCTGTGAGCCACAGCTCTGCCTGGTGTCCCCATGGCCATGGGACAGCCACACGCTGCCTGTGGGGACGAGGGGGTCCGAGCAGGACCCTGGCTGGGTCAGTCCCGCATCCCTGGGTGACACCGCGAGGCTCTGCTGTCTGTACCACAAACACCACCTGGCCCTGGAGTGTTCAGGGATCCTCACACCTTTATTTTCCCCCAGAGGAGCTGCAGGGCTGAGCTGCTCCTCAATAAACTCTGGAGGAGAGCTCTCTGGTCTGTCCTGGAGCTGAGCGGGTCCCTGCCAGCTCTGGTGCTGAGGGCTCCGTGCAGCCCTGCCCGGGGGAAACGGGCCGGTGGGTACCAGCGAGGAGGTGGCAGGGGTACAGTGTGATGGCGTCTGCTCCCTCCCTGGGTGGCAGAGACTCAACCAGAGACACGTGGTGGGGTCCAGGGTCCCCAGGGGACAGCAGGGATGGAGGGGCCAAGGGGCTTCACTGCATGGCTGGGACTGCAGGAAGGGTTGGGTGTCCCCTGGCACTCTGGGAAATGGGGTGAAGCCTGTGAGGGATGCAGGTGGTCCCACTGGGACCGAGCCAGGGGGTCTCAGCCAGGGGCCAAGGGCTGAGCCAG